CTCCTCTTTTGAGGTCGACCATGGAAGCTCTTAGAAATCCAATGTAAAATATCTATGTGTGCATATAGCTATGACACACGGTGCTTTCCATTCCAAAATCACACAGCCAAATCAGCCTAAATTAACTGTGTTGATTTTGTTTTGCTTTTAGCTCTTTTGGATTTTGTTGATCTTCTTAAAAATGACTAATAAACCACAAAAACACAATTCAAATCTTTTTGGGATTTCATTAAATCCTAATCCATCCATCCCAATCTTCAGGCTTATACGAGTTTTAATGATATAATGTTTTTTTAAATGAACATAATTCAGAATGAAAATGTTTCATGTCTACTTTATCAGAAATCCTACTCACTTGAATCATTGGAGGTGAGCATCTCCAACTGAAGATCTTATAAGAAACTACGTTCACACTTTTTCCACATCACTTTTAACTCATCAAATAAAAAACCTATATAAAAACTTTTTTGGGGGTTTCAATTCCCTGTTCAGCAAAGAACACACACAGAGAGAGATTAGGAACCCTGTTAGAAACGAGGTTCAAAATGGTGCAGGGGTGTGGGTTGAGCAACTGATGGAGCAGGCGTGAGGAGGTTTAGCAACAGCTGGAGATGTAGTGGTGGTGGTTTTACTTCTGGTGCAGAGGAGGAAGAAGGGGGGGTTCCGTGTCTGATGTGGTTGGTGATCTGTTCATCGAGCAGAAACCTAAACCAAAATCTGATGCTTTTGTGGTCATGATTACGCAGGGGTTCCATCAAAATCTACAAAGTTAACATAGAGATTCTCCAATTTCTCTAAATATTAGAGAATCTAAATTTAAAATCTCTAAAAAAAATGGTTACAAATTTCTTTGCTCACATATGTCCAGGCCACTGTAGGCTAGAGATGCACAACTAGGACCAGAAAATCCTGGTTTAGGATCGGTTAGGTTTCGGCCTAGGACCATTAAGGCCTGGAACGGAGACCGAGTTAGAACAGGTCTTACACCAGTTTTTTCAAAATGTTTGCATTTTTTCTAATTTTGTGACATATATAGTTACATACTTAAGTACATATAGATACTTTCTTATATATGCATGCGCCCACACACACACAAGACATACATAATTTATGTGTGTATATACACAGACACACACAGCAGATATATACATTACACAAACATACATGATACATATACATAATACCAGGAGGTGCATGAAAAATACAAGAGATGATAAACACATTGGACGTGTTTACCAAGTTACTACCAATAAGCCAAATTTGAGCACTGCTTGAATCTTATTGGATTAAGGAGATGTTAGTGCCACATTGGCACTTAGAGGAAGAAGAGAATCGTATCATATTAAATTTGATCAAGTTAGTATTTTTACTTATGAGTTATGAGGATCAGATTTATTCGGGCTGTTTGACTTTACTAGATGGGCAAACTATGACTCTAGCACTAACGGATGATGACCGTGTCAATGTTCATTCCAGGTGACCTTCAAATGCCTATTATGGTTTAAGAATGCTCGTTACCGGCTACTGGGACTGAAATTTTTGTTTGGGTTTTAGTATTAAGATGGAGTTTTGTGGCATTTGGTATTTCTCGTGATTTTGTATCAAAGGTGAAGTGTATTTGAATTTTGCGACACAAAATCATGTCGGAAGTGGACTTCCACATCTGATCCCGCAACAGAATCATCATTTAGGACGTGGACTTCATGTATGCTTTTGTGGAAGAAACCGAAACATCATCAAGGGCGTGGAAGCTTCAAAGAGCTGAATAGTGTGACCATTCGTTTTTGGACAAAATAAGGTTGTGTGTAAGCGTATTAACAGCAAGAAGATGACTTCTGATCAGTCTTTGGTGTGATGAATATGTTTTGAAGCTAGATAACACAACTTTGTATACATCATTTTGATTGTTAGTGAAATACAAGATCCTTCTCTCATGTGAATATACACCATCACACTAATAGTGGAACCACAAAAATTTTGTGCATTGTTGTTTCTTTGCTTTATGCTTGCTTCTTTGATATGTTTGTTAGTATTGTATACACTATCACACTAGATTCTTTGTTGGATATCTGGTGTCGACATCGGTTGTTAGGTGACGTCACATTTGGTGGTTTGGGACTCACTGGTTTCGATCCTACCAATTCTGAACATGGAGTCACCTTTTTGCCGGCATAGGCTTCAGGACCAGGGCATGGACAACATTGTCAAGTATGGCTTCTTCCAGGAGTTTAAGATACCAGATAAGGACCATATGATTATGGACCGAATTTAAGTCTATGTCTCAAGGAAATAGGATTTTGTTTAAAGGGTTGAAGTTTAAGATATACCCAGTCCCCTACTACCAACAACCTTTCACTCCTCATCTTGTAAGCATAGTATTTCTTCCTGAGTTGTGCTTGCTTATGTCAACCTTTAGTACATTTATTAAAGCAACCCTTTTCTAGAAATGTTATTAACATCAGCATCTTTCTGTTTTACTAACAATGATGATGCAAAAGGAAGGTTGTTTGTTAACTGTAGCAACAGTTTACAATCTTCCAATCCCTTTCTTACAATAATATTGCACAGTTATAGGATTTAATATCTACTGTTTTCTTCTTGCTGGCATTCCATTAGATTCCATGACTACTTGGGGAAATTTTCGACTATAGCCACCAATCGCCTTCTAGACGCAAAACCTATGGTCAAGGAACAGTGGCTTTTATACCAATTGTAATGAACAAGCGGGACCATTGATCTAAGCAACCAACTCTCTGTAATTAGACTTTGTATTATAATTACTCGATGCATTCCTGATATCATATCCTCTTATATATATGATCCAAAAGGCGTAAAATGAAAGAGAATGAAAAGAATAGTAGTGACTAACAACTAACAATGGCTAATGCCTAAAGCTTTGTTGGCATAAATTGGAGTTGATTTTGCCCAAACAGACGTATCATTCATAGACGCCTTTGGCTCTAACATAAAATTCAACAGTAACCTAATAATAACGACGCTAAACAGAACACAATAGATTCCAAAGGAAACACTGATTCAATTAAACTAGAAGGATAAAAAAACCCTAATAATGATAAATCATGAACAACGAAGTTTGAATCGCAAGCATACCTACACCTTTGCAGTATTTATATCCCGAGCAGCGGATATATTCCCAATCGATTTGCAGACCCATTTCACTTATCAGCTTGTTCGCCATATCTCTCCCGCCAAATATGACGGATTCTTGAAAGAAATTGCTTTAACGGACACTGACAGGTAGAGATGGCCAAAATCCGGTCTAGGCCGGTCCTTAACCTGTCCCTACCGTTCCTAATCAAGACAAAAACCGGCGGTAACCGGTCCTTCTATAACCGATCTCAGTCCCGATTCCGGTGAAATACCTTGTAACCGTTCAAGCTTACCGGTAACCGGTTAATGAATCCGGTCCCGACCAAAAAAATATTTTTTTTTTAAATTTTTGTTTATTAATAAATTTTTAATATGTTATTTTTAATATGTTTTATATAAATATGTTTTGTTATATATATATATATATATATATATATATATATATATATATACACGTTGACTTTTGTTGACCGGGCCAGGCCGGTCCTATAACCGGTTACATAACCGGTTCCGGTCTTAACCGGTCTCGGTCCTAGAAAACGTTAAAATCCATAACCGGTTCATAACCGGCGGTCCACAACCGGTCCATACCGGTTCCGGTCCTCCGACGGTTACAAGCCGGGCCAGGCCCATTTGGCCATCTCTACTGACAGGTATGATAAATACATTTATAATTTATGTAGAACGTGTGTAAGGCCCAACCAATAAGCCCAACCCATTTTAATTAAAGGGGTTGTTCGATAATTACTGAATGATTTAGTGTAAAATGATTAAATTGTCAGAATGATTAAGAGGATCTCATGATATAATGCAAAATAAAATATAATTGTTTGCTAATTGTTTATAATGAAATTAGAGCGTTGAATGGTTAAAGAAGACCTATGATACAAAATCATTCAGAGAGTTTTAAAACCATTAAAAGGCAAACTGTTTTTCTGTCAAACAAGATTCACTTCTTAACGATTCAAAGGTTGACTCTTAATGAAACTATTAAAAGGTAAACAAACAACCCCGTAAGATCAATTGAATTTTTTAGAGTAGATTACGGATTTGGTCCATGTGATTTGTCATTTTTTATTAAAATAGTCCTTTATTGAATTTTTAATGGATACTCAACGACTTGCACTTGAATATCGTTAGTGACATAAATCGAACTAATAAGAAACTAAAACTATGATTACCAAAAATATAAAACAACAAATTGTATGAAAAATATTTAATTATCGAAGTAATTTGATATTTTTTATGTATTAAATTTTTTTATCAACAGATGTATAGTTTGATTAAAACAAAAAGACTAAAAAACCAAAAATAAAATATTTAATAAACCAAAAAAAAAAGACTAAAAAACCATCAAGTTAAATGGATGATTTTTAATAGATTTACTCTCAGGAATGAAAACATTAATAAATTACAAAATATGAAAATAAAAACAACAACAAATTATAAATTATAGGAATGAAAATCGAAATTTAAAAAATCAAAACTTTTGTACGAAAATTGCATTCTTTTAGAAACCACGTGGACGGAAAAAGAAGATTGCTCTTGACATGGCAATATATGTGTGTGCGTGTATAAGCCGCGTGATGTTTTAAAAAAATAATATGAATTATGAAAACAATATTAACTGAAATTTTAAAAATAGAGTTAAAAAAATAAATAATTTAGGCTAATTGCATTATTATATCTATATTATATTATAAAGCATTTGACAAAAATTCTTAAAAACCATTTTTTATGTGTAAAGTACTGTTTATTAATGCATATTTCTTAAAACTTAAGATTGCAAGTAGATTGTGCGTAGGAACAACTTATTAAAACTCCATATCTAAATTTGTGTAATTAACTGCAGATAAACATAATCAAATACAAGATAAATATTTCATTTTAAATATAAAAAATCTAAAATATAATTAGGATAATCATTGAGTTATAACTATTTACTTAATTATTATCTTTATAAAATATTATATTATTAAAC